TTTTTTTTTTTCCCCAAACCCAGGGTCTCACAGGTACGAGGTGAGCACTCTACCGCTGAGCTAAAACCCCAGCCTGGCTGATGGAATGTTAAGTGGTACAACTATTCTGTAAAACCTCTTGGCAAAAATCTATAAAGGCACTGACCTATCAATTTCACTAATGAATGTATATCACTCAGAATCAAATGCATATGCATACCAAAAGACATGCACAAAAGCCATAATGAGTAACAACCCTAATATGCACAATAGAATGGATAAACTGTGGCATATTCACATAGTGGAAAAAAGCAAATTACTGCTATATGCAACAATATGGGTGATCTCACAGATACAACAGTTGATTTAAAAGAAAACGGTTGATTTAAAGAAGTCAGGCCAGGCTGAAAGGGTAGAAACGCTCTGCTTGCCAAAAGGCCTCCCAAAATGCTGCAGGTATGAAAGAGACAAGTGCCTTGAAACAAAAAGATACTTCTAAAAGGAAAGCAGAATTAGAAGCAGCCGTGAAAAAGAAGGCTGAGTTTAAGAGAAAAGCTTCTACATATTATGGAACAACTTTCAGAAGAAAATTCTTCTTACAGAATTTCTAATGGAGTGTGTACATGCTAACAAATTATTAGTTTTGTAGTACAACACCTTCAAATCTCTGTCAAATGAAACTTCCCTGTATTATTGAAATTAAATTTTTTCTCAGTCATTAAATGTAGGTAATATGCTTTATAATTCATGCTTTTTAGCTCAATTCACAATAGCTCAGCTATGGAACTAACCTAGGTGTCCTTCAACAGATAAATGGATAAAGAAAATGTGGTACATATACACAATGGAATATTACTCAGCTATATGGAAGAATGAAATTTTGGCATTTGCCGGTAAATGGATGGAACTAGAGAATATCATGCTAAGTGAAATAAGCCAATCCCCAAAAACCAAAGGCCAAATGTTCTCTCTGATATGCAGATGCTGACTTCACAATGGGGAATTACCAGATTGGACAGGGCAGAGTGGGGGGAAGCGAGGAGGGATGGGAATGGGAAAGACAGTAGAATGAATTGGATATAACTTTCCTATGCTTGTATATGAATACACAACCAGTATAACTCCACATTATATACATCCATAAAAATGGAAAGTTATACTGCCTGTATGTATGAGATGTCAAAATGCATCCTACTGTCATGTATAACTAAAAAGAACAAAATTTTTAAAAATAAAAATAAATAATAATTCATGCATTTCAGTGGTGTACACCTTTAATTCCAGCAAATTGGGAGGCTAAGGCAGAAGGATCACAAGTTCAAAGCCAGCCTTGACAACTTAGTGAGACCCAGCCTCAAAATTAAAAATAAAAAAGGGCTTATGATGTGACTCAGTGGTAGGTGCCTCTGGGTTCAATCCCTGGTACCAAAAATAAATAAATAAAATAATCAACTATCATAATATTCATTGCTGTATAATGACTTTAAAATGCATTAATGAAAAATAGCCCAAAAAAAAACACAAATGCTGAATGGTTTATATATATATATATGGAGGCAAATTCATAGTGGGATAGGGAGTGGGAGCATGAGAGGGAACATACAAACTCTAAATAGGGCAGAGGGGTTGGAGGGAAAGGGAAGGGGCATGGGGTAATTAATGACGGTGGAATGTGATGGTCATTACTAACCAAAGTACATGTATGAAGACATGAATTGGTGTGAATATACTATGTATACAACCAGAGATGTGAAAAATTGTGCTCTACATATATAATAAGAATTGTAATGCATCCTGCTGTCATATTTTTACATAAATTTACATAAAATTTTACATAAATTTACATTAAAAAAGAAAAATAGCAAGTATACAGCAAGATGTCTATAGTTAATGAGTGTGTGTGTGTACATATATATATATATATTTTTGGGTGGGGATGCAGGATTGAACTCAGGGGCATTCGACCATTGACCCACATCCCAGCCCTATTCTGTATTCAGAGACAGGGTCTCACTGAGTTGCTTAGCACCTCACTTTTGTTGAGGCTGGCTTTGAACTTGCAATCCTCTTGACTCAGCCTCTTGACCTGATGGGATTACCATGTGCACCACCTCGCCCAGCTAAAATAGTGTATATTTAAAGTTACTAAAAGAGTGAATTTTAAATGTTCTTACCCCAAAGAAGTATGTAAGGTGATGGATTTGCTCTGATTTGTTCATTCCAAAATGTGTATGTGTATTGAAATATTATTTTGTACCCTATAAATGCATATAATTACTTTCTGTCAATAAAAATAAAACTTAAAAATTTAAGAAAAGAAAATAAAAAATAAGTCAGACATAGGTAGGCATAGTGGTGCATGCTTTATTCCCAGAAACTCAGGAGGCTAAGGCAGGAGAATTGCAAATTGGAGGCCTCAGCAACTTAGAGACCCTGTCTCAAAAAAAAAAAAAAAAAATTAAAAGGGCTGGGAATGTAGCTCAGTGGTAGAAGAACATCCCTGGTTCAATTTCCAGCAACCTCTACCTCAAAACAGTCAGATAGACACGAAAAAACATGTACTGCATGATTCTGTTTATCTGAGGTTTAAATAGATACCAGTCAAACATTAGTTACCCTTGGACAAGAGTGGGCAAATATGTTCTTAAAAGGAACACAAGGGCCAGGAGTGGTGACACACACATGTAATCTCAGTGACTTGGGAGGGTGAGGTAGGATTAAAAGTTTGAGGCCAGGCTCAGCAACTTAGTGAGACCCTTTCTCAAAAGAAAAAAGAAACAAGACTGGGGATGTAGCTCATTGGTAAAGCATCCCTGGGTTCAATTCCCAGTACCAAAATATAAAATAATAAAAAATTTAAGGCTAGGGATATAGCTCAGTTGGTAGAGTGATTGCCTCTCATGCAAAAGGCCCTGGGTTCAATCCCCAACATCACAAAAAATTTTTAAAAATTTAAAAAGAGGACACAAGGAAACCTTTGGTGGTATGAAAAATGTTCCTAACCTTTACCATCTTCATCTGAGTAATAACTATCCAAGTGTGTAGCATCTGAAAATTCATCAAGCTACAGTTAAGACTTGTGCACTTTTATTTATTTTTTAATTGTAGTTGGACACAATATCTTTATTTTATTTATTTACTTTTATGTAGTGCTGAGGATCGAACCCAGGGCCTCGCACATGCTAGGCGAGCACTCTACCACTGAGCTACAATCCCAGCCCAGACTTGTGCACTTTTATCTTTACTTGAAAAGAAAAGAAATATGGACAAGGCATAGTAGCTCACACCTGGAATCCAGGCTACTTAGGAGGCCAAGTCCAGAGGATTGCAAGTTCAAGGCAAGACTGGCCCTCTTAGCAAGACCTCCGTTTCAAAATAAAAAATAGAAAGGACTAGGGATGCAGAGGAGTGGATCACTCCTGGGTTCAATTCCAAATACAAGGAAGAAATGCAGGCAGGCAAACAACTTAAAGCCACAAAACTTGATCACTGACTATAAGCATAGGTGGCAAAAAATGAGTGGTAAAGGATGAGCAGGTAAGGATAGGCAGGTAAAGGACATAGGTGAGGATTAATGTTGGGTTTGTTGTTTAGATGACAGGCTGGCTGGGGATAACATTCTACTGGAAATAAAGACAAAGTCTGGAATCTGTAAATAATAACCTTCTTTTTGGATCTGTGGAGTTTGAGGGGCCTCCGGATTATATAGAGATGCCCAGCAGAGAATTGGCCATTAAGATCTAAAGTAGGGCAGAGGTCATGCTGAGAGCCATAGCTAAGTAAGAATGACGCATGGCAATTTCTTTGTCAGCCTACCCCATGTTGCTTAGAGGGAGGACTCTCCATTGTGGAAATGGGCTTGCCTTGGACCCAGGGCATTTGCAGTGACTTTGCATGAAAGGTGACCTTGCTCAAGGACCAGGGCGGATGGGGGTTTAGGACGGTTCCAGGTTTAAGGTGATTCCTGCTGGGAATAGGGCGTATCCTGCTGCCTCAGGCGCCTTGAGTTCCCATTGAGTTCTCTCGGGATTCAGAGAGTATTTTGGGATTCAGAGCCGGGTGGAGAGTGTGGATTTTGCCCAGAATGTGCTTGTAGGGTGCCGGTGTGAGTTCGGGAATAAAGAATTGCTGTTTGAATCTACAAGGCTGTGAGTGGCTTGTGATTTTGTGCCCAGCCAGACTGCGGCAAGGTCAGACTACAGAGCCAGAGTCAAACTGTCCAGCATCTCCAGATAGAAGAGATCAATTATCAAGACCAAGAAGAAGTGAAGACAATAATAACATAATAAGAATGGACACGTTCACTGGGCACATGCCTGGAATCCCAATGGTTCATGAGGCTGAGACAGGAGGATCACAAGTTCCAGGCCAGCCTCAGCAACTTAGCAAGATCCTGTCTCATAATAAAGAGCTGGAGATGTGGCTCAGTGATTAAGCATTCCTGTGTTCACTCCCCAATTCCAAATAAATGGACACCTTGACAGCAGTAAGAGAATGAATACTCCATAGAGAAGACACAAAAAAAAGAAACCACAGAAAAAAGAAACCAAACAAGAAGACATTCCAGGGGAGACTGCACATGAATGTCAATTAGCAAGGTGTGGTGGCATACATCTGTAATTCCAGCAATTCAGGAGGCTGAGGGAGGAGAGTCCCAAGTTTGAGGCCAGCCAGGGCAATTTAATAAGACCCTGTCTCAAAATTTAAAACATAAGAAAAGCAACTAAAAAAGGGCTGGAGAAGTGGCTAAGTGGTAGAGTGCCCCTGGATCCAATCATTAGTACCACAGTAAATAAATAAAACAGGAGTGTCAACTGGACAGAATGCTCAACTAAAGTAAGGACTAAAGTATTCATGATATTTGCCATGATAAGGTCACTGCTGTCCCCCTTAAGACAGATCCAAAAGTTATACAGTTTAAAACATAAAGAGATATAAAGAGACATTTGACAGAAAATATAACTTTCACCTATCTGCTGTACAATCTGTACATGATATTTAAGAACTTTACCTAAAGGTGATATAATCCATTCTTTATTGCAAATAACCCAGGTTCTATGCTCGGATAGAACCAGACCATCAGAGAGAGGTCTACAGGATCAAGGTGTTTCAGTCCTTAGAGTTCTCCTTTGGCACAAAGTACTCTGCTTCCCCTGAGTAGCAATTATAGGCAGCATGCTGCACTGATTTCCAGTCATCACTGAATGATTACGTAAGTGACCTAGGGGAAGACAGGGAAAAGAACATTGATTGTACTTCAATCCCAAGAACTCTTAAGGTCCCATGAGAAATTCCTGATAATTTATTTTAATGGCCAATGCAAATCACATAACAGAGAATATCTGCACTATTGCTGTGAACTTCAGAAAGACAGATCAATTTGCCTTAAGATCATGGAACCTATTTCTATGCAACATTTTGTCCCGATATTGATGTTGATCTTTTTTTAATATTTATTTTTTAGTTGTAGTTGGACACAACATCTTTATTTTATTTATTTATATATGGTGCTGAGGATTGAACCCAGGGCCGTGCATGTGCTAGGTGAGCACTTTACCGATGAGCCACAACCCCAGCCACCACCACCCCTTTTTTTTATATTGGGGATTTAACTCAGGGGCAATTTACTACTAAGCTACATCCCTAGGCCTTTTTATTTTTTATTTTGGGACAGGGTCTCCCTAAGTTGTTCAGGTCCTCCCTAAGGTGCTGAGGCTGGGCTTGAACTTATAATCCTTCTGTTTCAGGCTCCGGAGCTGCTGGTGTTACAGGTGTGCACCACCACACCCAGCTTGCTATTGATCTTGTTTACTTTCCCTGAAGCTGATTTTCATCTATTTCTACATTTGCATTCTAACCTAAAACCTCATAAACAAAGTAGGAAATAAGAAATAAACTATTTACCTCAGACCTGCTCATTTTCTGCTGCTCTAGGAAACAGGTAGGGGGAGCTGGAGAAGAAAGAATGGATCACAAAAGGTTTGATTTGCCTAAAAGCTCAAGATAATAAAATGTCTTCCTGTAGGAGAATGTCCTTTGGCCCTTAATTACCTTGACAATACTTTCTGTCTTTAAACTGAAACTGATTTTTTTTGGGGGGAAGGGGGTACCAGGTTCAATACTAGGTTCATGATATTCGCCATGATAAGGTCACTGCTTTTCCCCTTAAGACAGATCCAAAAGTTATACAGTTTAAAACATAAAGAGAAATAAAGAGACATTTGACAGAAAATATAACTTTCACCTATCTGCTGTACAATCTGTGGATAAGTACAAGGGGTAATTATCCACTGAGCCACCTCCCCAGCCTTTTTTTTTTTTTTTTGTATTTTTATTTAGAGACAGGGTCTCACTGAATTGCTTAGGCCCTTGCTAAATTGCAATCCTCCAGCCTTAGGATTACAGGCTTGCACCACCACATCCAGCTTGAAACTGATTTTGACTTAACTATGTCAGAAATTCTGACTAATGGCTTAGGCACTAATGAATGTGATAACCTGGATCTTCACCCTCTGAAGCTCAGTGGCTTTCATCTTTCATATTGGGCAGAAAGCAGTAATCCAGGAAGCTCTTCCCTGTACTACTTTCCAGGTCTATATGACAGAATGGAGGAAACACCCGTATCTCTCAAGAGTCATGGTATGAGAGCCCCTTGAGGATCTGTAAAAAGCAGACAAACTTGAAAGGAATCAAAGGTTGTTGGGTGGGAAGTGGGAGCGGGAATTAAGTTTTTCTTAATGGTAGGTGGTATTTCCCCCCCCCACACACCAGGTTCTCTCACATCCTTAATTGAAGTGACATTCCTGGACAGACCTGCCTTCAGCCTGAGCCCTAGCTCACCTCTTTCTTCTGAAACTTGGCGCAAACTTCCCATTGTCTCAGTTTGGGTGGCCTGTTTCTAGACATGCAAACCTAGAATCTGCTCTTTCCCAGCAGGGTTTTCTGCTCCACTCAGATGGTCCATTCCACAGGTGGCTTCCTCCTCACTTAAGAGAGAGCTGCTTGGTCCTAAGAACCAGGATCTGGGTCTAGGGGACAAAATAATTTTAGTTGGAACCTACACCTCGAGAACCTGAATCTTGAGCTGACTGGGCAGTTCAAACCAGGCCAGAAGCCCTCTTACAAAGCATGACCCAAGAGACCTAAGAGACACCACAAGAGACAGTACAAATGCCAAGATGACGGAGTTCATTCTGCATTTGAAACGATATCCTAGACTCAGTTATGGACCTAGGCAGATTTACTTTTAGCCAGCAAGCACAAGTGCAGCACCTAGCAGGTTGTACCCAACCGGTCGTTTGAGCGCGAGGGTTCCCGGTGGTGCCCACTAGGGCGCGCACATCCTCCTCACAAGGAGGCAAAAGCGGCCACTACCGCTCACCAGACAGTCATACTTCCGCCTGCCCGCCATCTCCTACACGAGAAAGGGCCAAGTTGGAGCCACCCGCCGCACCCGTCCAAGAGCTTGTATCTAAGGTCAGGTCCCGCCTTTGCACGGGCACGGCTGGCCTTTGACCCAGGTTGCACCCTGACCACGATACTCGTGCGTGTCCCGGGCCTGAGCCGCGCATGCGCAGGAGTGCCTGTCTCTGGTTCCCGCGCAGTAAGCGCCCGGGATCTGGAGGAGCTGTTTCCCGTCGGGCTCCGCGGCAGTAGCCGCGCCTCAATCCGGCCGAGGGAGGAGCTGTGTCCGCTGGGCCAGGAGGCGTTGCGCCTGGCGTTTTCGGCTAGTTCCGTGCTTACCCGGCTCCACCAGAAAGGACGCCCGCAGCGCAAACCTCGCGGAGAAAAACTGTCCATAACAGCAGTATTGCATTCAGGAAAGCAGAGCAGCGTGGTGCCGGTGGTTTTGTAGTTAGTAGTAACGAAGACAGTAAAATGCCTCAAAATTACTTTTAATACACAAAACTTGGGAGATCAATAAAAATGCACGCAAACTAAAAAGAAAACGGCTGATATTGTAGCTTAGTGATAGAGCACTTGCCCAGCATGAGACCCCTTTGGGCTTGGGATACAGCACGGTTGGTAGAGTACTTACCTGGCATGCACAAGGCTTGGGTTCTAATCCCCAGCATCACTTAAAAAAAAAAAAAAAAAAAGCAGGAGGCCCTTAGTGAGCTCTTCAGCACCACCAAAGTAAGTAGAATTGACTGACACCCAACCTCACCTAACAACTTTTACAAAAAATGCGATTTAGAGCATAAAGAGGATCGCAATTCAAGACCAGATTGAGAAATTTAGGAAGATCTTGTCTCAAAATAAATAAATAAAAATAGATAAATAAAAGGCCTGGGAATATAGCTTAGTAGTAGTGAGTTTCAGGGTTCAATCTCCAGTACTAGGGGGGCGGCAGAGGGTGAAGGGGAGGTGCGGGCTGGCGGGGGAGAGGAGGGGGGGGAAGGGGGACCGACGACATAATTACTATGGCATGTTTTCAAAAAACAATATATTTTCTTGGTCGTTAAAAGCCAGGGCTGCTCTGTGTCACAGCATTTGCCTAGCTAATCAAAAGGCCCTCTGTTCGATCCCCAGCATAATCCACACACACGATTTTTATTAATAAAAATTGTTTATTTTTTAAATAATTTTTTTGCAGCACTTAACAGATTGAATGGGGGGAGGGGGTCTCTACCACTGAAGTACAACCCCAACCCTTTTTATTTTAAAATAAGGTCTCCCTAAATTGCCCAGGCTGACCTTGAACTTTAGATCCTCCTGCCTCAGCCTGAAGAGTAGCTGGGATTACAGGTGTTTGCCACCCTGCTCAGCTAAAAATAACCGAATACTAAAATAGCACAGGTCAGTAGATTTCTCACAAAAGTTTCAAAGCATACACAACATTTATAGGATATGGAGTTAATTTTTGTTTACTAGTGAAAGTAGACAATGTGTAGTAATAATTTCCTATTCAAGAGTTTTGGTCTGGCGTGGTGGTCTGTAATCCCAGCCACTTGGGAGCCTGAGGCAGAAGAATCCCAAATTCCAGGCCAGCCTCAGGAATTTAATGAGGCCCTAAGCAACTTAGTGAACCCTTGTCTCAAAATAAAAAAATAAAAAGAGCTGGGGATCTAACTCAGTGGCAAAAGTGTCCCTAGGTTCAATCTCTAGTACACCCCCCCCAAAAAAGAAGTTTTGAAATTCTGATTTCCCACAATTTTTTTCTCTAAAATGCCCAATCACTCTGCACAAATCAAAATGGAGCTCAGCTGTTTCCCCTGTTGTCAGTACTTACCAAATGAAATGTTTTCACCACTTGAATTGATGTATGGCTGTTAATCTCTGACACTACACTCAATATATAAAATAGATCTTGTATTAGTAAGTTTTCCAATACTATGAAAAAATACCTGGCATGCGTGCGGCCCAGGTTCGATCCTCAGCACCACATACAAACAAATGTTGTGTCCACCAAAAAACTAAAAAATAAATATTAAAATTCTCTCTCTCTCTCTCTCTCTCTCTCTCTCTCTCTCTCTCTAAAAAGAGTGTCGGCGCACTGGAAATGCTGGAGAGTGCTTTCAGGCTGGCTGGGGAGTCCTTGTCCCGGTTAAGTTGGTGGTGGAGCGAGTACAGAGGTTCACCTGTAATCCCAGCCACCTCGGAGGCTAAGTCAGGAGGATAACAAGTTCAAGACCAACCTTAGCAGGAACCACCTAATTTCAACTGGCTGAGCACAGTCCTGCTCTTCATGGAGAGCAGGTGCTTCATTTCTGTTCTGAGCTGCAAATGAACTGAATAAACCATGCTGAGCCAGTCTGCTCCTGGCCTGGCTGAAGCTACACCCAGCACAGAGAACCTGTGGAGATGGGAGAGCCAGCAGTCATCTCAGGCTTCCCTTGGAGCTGGTGCAGCCCTCCATACTCAACCCTGGGTAGCCAAACCATGGAGTAGAGCGACCAATAGGAAGAGGTAGCAGGGTACCCAGCCTGGGGCATCATCTTTGGGGTCATGGTGACCCTAGACTTGCCTGGGGTACTGGGCAGTTACTATCTACTCATGAGTTCTTGTGTCATCAGATGTGTTGTTTTTGAGAAAACCATATTTCTTATTCCCTTAAGTGTTGTGAGGGTGAGTGTTGAAGACCTTGCCACTCTCAATAAAGACCTGGCCTGGAGCTGTGCTATGTGGGCTAACTAGGCTGGACTCCTCAGCCTGTCAACCCTACACCTGGGCTTAAAAAAAAAAAAAAAGATCCCAAGTTCAAAGCCAGCCTCAGCATTTAGCAAGTCCCTGTTCAAAAATAAAAATTAGAAAGGGTTGGGGATGTAGTTCAGTGATTAAGTGCCCCTGGGTTCAATCCCTGGAATCTTCACACACACACTCTCCAAAAAATTAAAAACTAATGATAGTTCCAGCCAGGCATTGTTAGAGTCTGTAAACAAGTCAAAATAACACCTGGCATTTTGCCAGGGGAATGTTAAAGTTCATAAACAAGTCTAGATGGTGCCTGGCAAAATGCCAGAGGGAGTGGTTTGAGAAGTAACAA